TCTCTTGCTTCTCTCTCCTAGTGACCTGGGTTGACCTCTTCAGAGCCCCACCCCCAGCCCAGATCCACCTAGCTAGCCCCTCTCCCCTCCATGCCCTTCCACACAGGCCCTGTCTGGGAGCTCTACAGTACTTCTCCCTCCAGCTTTCTGTCTCAACCACTAACTCTTCCATTTAAATAGCCATGAAATCCAGCCAATTCCATCTCCTAAGCATCTCTGGAAACAGCCTTCTCTCCAGCCCTATCTGCACCACCCCCACACAGATGCAGGTCTCAGCCAGTCTTAAGTAGCTCGAATCTGAGCCTGTCACTCTCCCACTGAGTACATCCCCATTGCTCCTGATGCCGTCTGTCCTACCCAGATCCTGAGGGCCTGCCTGCTCTCCCCTCCACATTTGCCTGGTACTCCAGGCTCCAACTTTTCAGCTTGGATTCCTTTTCTCCACTTTCTCCCTCCTGGGAGCCTTCCCAGAACCCACCAGTGGGGAAAGTGGACCCCACTTTCCCCACTGCTTCCCCCATCCAGGCCTGGGGGGGCTGGGGCTACTCCTGTTCTCTCCCATCACTCACGGTCCCTGCCCAGCCAAAATGAATCTTCCCGCCAGAGCACTAACCATTCTGTCCCTCCATGGTGGCACCTCGGACTAGCGCGGCCCACCGCTGAGCTTCCTGGGGGTTGAGGAAGTGCAGGCTGAGGGTCCCAGGCCCTCCCGGTGGAGGCTGCAGCTCATGCTGGCTGGGGCCTCGGACCGTGTAGGAAACTGACTCCAAGGGCCATTCCAAACTGACCTGAGGAAGGGGAGAGTCCAGGCTCAGTGTCTCCCGCCAGCACACACTGCATGATGACCCAAGGAACACGAGGTCACATTTATAGACCACTTACACTGTCCTACGCCCTTCCCCCAAGTTACCTTACGAAACCCTCACGGGACGCCTCTAAAGGCAGGTAGTATAGCATTTGTCCTCATTCTACAGACGAGGAAACGGAAGCAAGGGCAAATGAACTGCTCAAGGGCACACAGCCGGCCCGCGGAGGACACTGACCCCGGTCCCGCGCCCCCGCCGCCCCCACTCACCGCCCCGGGCCCCGCGCCCAGCAGCTCCAGCCGGAAACGCCCGGGCCGCTCGGGGTCCGCGCTCAGCTGCAGCTTCCGCAGCTGTGCCTCGGCGTCCGGCCCCGCGCCCAGGGGCCTCACCGCGGCGTGCACAGCCAGGAGCACCCCGGTCGAGTCCGGGTCCGAGGGCGGCGCCATCTCCGGTCCGGCCCCGGCCCGGACCCCCAAGCCCGCTTCCGTGGGCTCGGGCCTCTGAGCGCCTCGGCCGACCGGAAACTGGGGCCGCGAGCCTGGGGTTCCGGCCGTGGCCAGAGCGTCGGAGCCCGGGTCTAACCCTCCTGCTTTGCCCAGGATGGACACGGCCTAGAGGCTCTGCGGGCGGGGGCTGCAGCCCAGTGGCCCGTGTCACCCGGCCGCACGGGGCCGGAGCTGGACGCGGTTCCCAGGCTCCTTCCCGCCCGCCCCCCGCCGCCCGCTGGGCTGCCCGGCCCGCCCACCTCGCGTGGGCCAGCCAGCCACTCCCGGGAAAGCGGGCTGACACCAGGGGCGGGACGAAAAAGGGACCTCAACCAATGAGCGCAGGAAAGGAGGAGGGTTCGCACGCACTGGAAGAGTGACGGACAGGCATCGCAGCCAGTAGAAGTGGAAGCTAGGAGTGAATGGCGGGAGACGCTTCCTATGGCTATCCGAGCTCCCGATCCCGGCGGCTGAAGCGGGCCATTCAGGGGCGGGGGGCCGGGCCTTGCGGACGTTTGTTGTTGTCCGGCTCGGAGAGGCAGAGGTCGCTCGCTCGCTCCTTTACTCGTTCGGGCCTTGTGTGGCGGTCGGCGGGCAGGTCGGTCGCGGTAGTCGGTCGCCGTGCAGGGGCGAGGCTATGTCGCGGTGGCAACCCGGCAGGGCCGGCAGGGCCGGGAGTAACGGGACGTCGCCGCGGAGCCTCTTCCCCCGGATACAGTGCGGCCCGAAAGGAGGCCGCGGCGCCGCCCTCCGGTCCTGAGGAGCTCGCGCTGCCCGGAGCCCTCACCGCCTTCTTACCCGCGCCGACGTCAGCCGGCCTGACCCGGCCCGGCCTGGCCACACCGAGCGCCGCGCAAGCAGGTAGGTGTCCGCCCTGTCCCGGGCACCGAGTCGGGGCCTCCAGAACTCCAGCCCCCAGCGGCCTCCGCGCTGGCGCGCATGCGCGTCCCGGGACGCACAGCCTCCTGGGATTTGTAGTTTTCCGCGGCTAGCTTGGGGTTTTCCTTAGCCCGGGCCGAGCGGCGGGTGCGGCCAGGCTGACGCTGGAGCGCCCTAGCGGCCGGCCGATGGGCCCTTCGGGGGTCGTGGTACCTGCCTCTGTTGCTTGGTGTCCGAAGAATTAGCCGCACTTGTGGAGAAGAACGGAGAAGCCTATGGGTTTTCTCTCTACTTTCCTAGAGACCTTGTAGAACAGGGAAGAGTGCTGTGTCCAGGTGACCGCAGGGCCCCAGCCCCAGGTGTGCTGGATCCTAACCCGGGGCAGGTTCTTACTCTAGCTGAGGAGCTTAGCCCGAGGGGGTACTGCAGGAATCCTGTGCGTTCGCGGGCTCACAGTGACCCCCCCCGCCCATGGTGGGTGAGGCTCTTCTGTCCAGATGGACGGTGTCCAGGGAGATAAACCAGCGAGCCCTAGCATGAGCAGGATCCCTGGTACGCCCCCAGGTATCGGGGCTGGGAGAAGGGGGTTGGCTGAGCTGCAGCCTGGGCTTACCACTCTCAGGTAAGAGGATCTAATTTATGTCTCCTGCCAGCGCTGAGGGTTTAGGAGTAAGCTGCAGGAGGGACCCAGCTTGTTTCTAATGGCTCCACTTACTGGGTAGGGAGACCAAAGGCTGAGCTTCGGCGGCCAGATACTCAGGGACTGGCCTCCCATCCTCAGGCAGCACTAGCCCCTCCAAGCACAGAACCTCTTCCTCAAGGACATGAAGCTGTTGGAGAACTCGAGCTTCGAGGCCATCAACTCACAGCTGACAGTGGAGACTGGAGATGCCCACATCATCGGCAGGTGAGGCCTGGGCTCCATGGGACTCAGAGGTTACGATGTCCTGGCCCAGAGTTGAACCTGATGGGTAGCATGCTCCATGGTCCCCCTTGCACCTTGTAGGATCGAGAGCTACTCGTGTAAGATGGCAGGAGATGACAAGCACATGTTTAAGCAGTTCTGCCAGGAGGGCCAGCCCCACGTGCTAGAGGCACTGTCTCCACCCCAGACCTCAGGCCTCAGCCCCAGCAGGTGAGCCGGGGCAGAGTCGGCCCACCGTGGGCTGTGGGGTGCAGGGCAGCGCTGGGCTGATGCTTTTCTCCGTGCAGACTGAGCAAGAGCCAAGGTGGTGAGGATGAGGGCCCGCTGAGCGACAAGTGCAGCCGCAAGACCCTCTTCTACCTGATCGCCACGCTCAATGAGTCCTTCCGGCCTGACTATGACTTCAGCACAGCCCGAAGCCATGAGTTCAGCAGGGAACCCAGCCTCAGCTGGGTGAGGGTCAGGCTGGGGGGAGGGGCCCACAGCTCCCCAGCTATGCTTACTGTCCTTCCTACCTGCAGTGGCCCCTGGGCTCAGCCCGGTTCATGCCCTCTGTCCTGCATCCTGAGTCAGTCCCAACTGTGACCATCCTAGGTGGTGAATGCAGTCAACTGCAGTCTGTTCTCAGCAGTACGGGAAGACTTCAAGGCCCTGAAGCCACAGCTATGGAATGCAGTAGATGAGGAGATCTGCCTGGCCGAATGTGACATCTACAGGTGGGCTGGCAACCCTGCAGGTGGGCCCTGGGCGTGTGTGGCACGTGGGCCTTCATACCACCTCTTGCCCCACACTCCCCAGTTACAACCCAGACTTGGACTCAGATCCCTTTGGGGAGGATGGCAGCCTCTGGTCCTTCAACTACTTCTTCTACAACAAGCGGCTTAAGCGGATTGTCTTCTTCAGCTGCCGCTCCATCAGGTTGGCACCTGTCCGCCTCCTTTCCTTTAGCTCCTATTTGGCCCACACACCATTTCCCCAGCTGTTCCCCCTCCCCCCTGCCCGACTTTGTCCTCCCTGGACATTCTCCCTGGGGTCAGCAACTGGCCAGGGATAGGCAGTCCTAAGACCAGTTCCCACACCTCCCCCAGTGGTTCCACCTATACCCCCTCGGAGGCAGGCAACGAGCTGGACATGGAGCTGGGAGAGGAGGAGGAGGAGGAGGAAGAAGAGAGCGGAGGTGGAGGCAGTGAGGGCGGACCCGAGGAGACGAGCACCATAGAGGAGGACAGGTGTGTGACGGTCGCTGGAGCCAGGGGTGGGTGGGACAGAGTGGGCACCCCTCTGCCTGATCTCCTGGGTGTTGGCTCCTCTAAGCTTACTGTGTGCCACCTTCTACCCAGGGTCCCGGTGATCTGTATGTGAGGACGAGGAGCAGAGGCCCCAGCTTCATTCAGCTTCAACCAGTGCCTGGAACTGCCCACTCGAGGGGCCCCAGGGTCAGCCCCTGGCCCAAGGCCACGCCCACCTAGCCCTTTGGCTCCCTCCTACAGATGTCTACTCACCCCCACAGGCTCCGGCTGCCCATGTTGTGGTTGGCCTGGACAGCACAGGGCCTGGTGGGAAGGCCACTGCCTGTCCCAGTGAACCGACAAAGGCAGGGACAGCTGGACTACAGAGTTTATTTTTGTATTTTGTGCCGGATCAGGCGTGGGCCTGCACACTCCAGCCCAAAGGGTCTGAGATCCAGTCAGCAGGCCCCTGCGGTCACCACCCTGGGCTTGGCCAGCCCCTGGCGCCCACCTGTACCCCTCTCCGCCCCCCCCCGCCACCTCGCCCGTTGGGCAGTGTGCACTGAGTGTCACTTTGCTGCAGCTGTTTGTTTCCAATAAAAATTTCTGTGACTTAGTGGGGACCTAGGCTCTGTGCTGTGCTGGGGGTGGGGTCTGCGTCAAAGGCGGGGCCTACGGCGTCTGGTAGCCTAGCAACGGTCTTAGGGTCCGTTGAGCCGCCTGGACCTGCAGCCGCTAGAATGGAGACTGAAGGGTCAGACGCGAGCAACCCCTACTCAGTAGAAGGCGACAGCCTGCTGCTGGACCTGGACCTGTATGATGCTGACAGCTACGACATCCCAGACCCAGGGCTGCTCAAAGAAAAGAACGGTGAGGTGGCCTGGCCTCGCCCCCAGATGCCCACGTGGCTGCAGGCACGTCCTGCTCAGGCCCGAGCTCTGTCCGCTGCGACGCCACACTCCCTGGGTGGTCCCGTAACCCAGCAGGGCCGTCCAGAGAGGGCCTGCCTACGCCTCCAGAGGTAGGGGTCCGAGACCACGCGGCGAGAGTGCTTCTCCTGCTGACCTGCAGAGCTGCTTTCGGAGCCAGGCCCACGGCTTTTTACCGGCAGCTCGCGGTGGCAGAACATGACCCCACGTGCCCGTGCCCACCAGCTGTGGCTGTTCCTACGTGCGGGCCTCCATGACCTCGTGGAAAAGGTGGGGCTTGCCTGTGGGCCCTGCACTGACGCTTCTTCTGGCCCACCTCTTCCCCTAGGTGTCCCTGGTACGCCCCCAGCCCGGACCCCCTTGGCTCCCCTGGGCAGGTGCACTACCTCTCCAGCCCCCCGCCCCCACCCCCCAGCTGACTGCAGGCCTGCCCATCCTGGCCCACAGGAAAAGAGAGGTGAGCTGTGTGTGGCACGCTTGACCCATGGGCTGGAGCCGCTGCGCCGCCTGAAAGTGGCAGCTGGGCTGTGCTCGGTGGCCCAGGACCCAGTGGGCAGACGCTTTGTGGTGCTCGATGGTGCAGGCCACCTGCACGTGCACAGAGAGGACGGATGGGCTTACGAGAAGCTACAGGCCCCAGCCGCGCTCACGGGGCTGGTGGCAGTGCCGGGCCCGCTGGACGCTGTGAGCCGCTTTGTGGGTTGGGGCCCCAAGGGGCTGGCCATCCTAAGGCCTGACCTCAGCCTGCTGTGGCTGAGCAAGCCAGGGGTGGGCAGGGTGCCGGGCCACGAGCCCCTCTGCTGTCTGCCAGTGCCCGGCGTGGGGCTGATGCTAGTGGCAGAGGCGGGTGGCCGCCTGGTGCTCTGGAAGTTCCGTTCAGGGGGTCGCCGCCTGGTGCCGTGTGGGTCACCTCTGCAGCTGCCACCAAGCCCTGCAGGTACACTCACCCGTTTGGCTCTGGGGCCCCTGCATTCCCACCAAGTCCCACGCTGCTTCGCGGCCTATGGCTCTGCCGTGCTCACCTTTGATCTGCACACCTGGGCTCTCGTAGACGTGCGCCGGGACCTGCACAAAAGGTGAGGGGGCGCCTAGGGACCGGGAGAAAGGGAGGGTGGCAGGGAGAGGCAAATCCAGGAGGGCAAGCGGGTCATGGCAGGGGCACAGGGGCTCACACACTGGGAGGTGCAGAGTCTGCCAGGGCCGCCTCCTCCCCTTCAGCGCTATCTTGGACTTGGCCTACTGCCTAGAGGCAGAGGCCATGGTGACAGCCTCTCGCGACAGCACGGTGAAGGTGTGGGAGGCTGACTGGCGGATCCGGATGGTGTTCCTGGGCCACACAGGTGCGCCATGCCATGCCGCCCTCGAGGCCCGTTCTCTCTCCACCCTGTGCACGGCCCACGGGAAAGAGCTCTGGGCTCTGGCCAAGCTTCTCCGCACTGGCTGCACCCCGGGCTGACGGCTCCCCTGCCCCAGCCCCCGGGGGAGCCCGAGTGACCCATGTCCCTCCCACAGGCCCAGTGACAGCTCTGGCCGTGCTCCCGAACACGTCCCTGGTGCTGTCGGCCTCGCAGGACGGGACGCTGCGCACCTGGGACCTGCAGGCGGCGGCACAGGTGGGCGAGGTGGCGCTGAACTGCTGGGGCCGAGACGTGGCGTCCGGGCGCGTGAACCGCCTGCTGGCGCCCGCCGGCCCCAGCTGGCCGGTGCTCTCCCTGAGCGCCAGCAGCGTGGAGCTGTGGCGCCTTCGCGAGCTCTACTCGCCGCTGGCGCAGCTCTCTGCGCCAGTGCTTCACGTGCAGGTGGTGCCCGCGCTGCCCGCGCCCCCGCACCCCCGCCTGCCGGCGCGCCTCGTGTGCGCATGCGCCGACGGCTCGGTCTACCTGGTGTCGGTCGCCACCGGGCGCACCGTGAGCGCGCTGCTGCTCGAGCCCGATGACTGCGCGGCCTCAGTGCTTTACTGCCTGCCGCGCGAAGCACTGTGGCTGCTGACACGCGCCGGCCACCTGGTGTGTGCCAGCGCGGCGCGCTGCCCCATGCGCGTGCTGCACCGCGTGTGCCCGCCGCCCGCGCCCGCGCCCAGGCCCTGCTGCCTGCACCTGTACAGCCACCTCCCAGACCCCGGCAGCGCGGTGGCCGGCTGGGAGACCGTGTGCCGGCACGGGGGGGAGCCGTGCCCGAGCGACGCGGCCCGGGCCCGGAAGGACAAGAACCGGTGGGTACCGGAGCCGCACGGTGGGCGGGGCGACGCCGCCCGAGCCCACGGGCGGATGTCCTGCGCAGGTACCTGCCCGTCGTGGGGCACACGGATGGCACCCTGTCAGTCCTGGAGTGGCGCGGGTCGAAGACCGTCTTCCAAACCGAGGCACACAGCCCGGGCCCCGTCACTGCCATAGCGTCTACCTGGAACAGCATCGTGTCCTCCGGTCCGTATCTCCCCTCCCCCCGCAGAGGGCCTGGGAATCCCTTCGCTGCCGCACAAAGGCCCAGCCCTGGCTCCCGCCCCTGCAGGCGGAGACTTGACAGTGAAGATGTGGCGCGTCTACCCCTATGCGGAGGAGAGCCTGAGCCTGCTGCGCACCTTCTCCTGCGGCCGCCCTGCGGTGGGGCTCTGTGCGCTCGGCAAGCGGATCACTGCGGGCTTTGAGGATCCGGACAGCGCCACCTACGGCTTGGTGCAGTTCGGCCCGGGCGACAGCCCCCGCTGTGAGCACCGGCCCCAGGATGACCCCACGGACCACATCACTGGTGAGGGGGCAGGGCAGAAGTAAAGCCCGAGGCGCCGCCTGGCCCTGGGCCCTCACCCGAGCCTTGTCCCTCAGGCCTGTGCTGCTGTCCCGCGCTCGAGCTGTATGCCTGCTCCAGCCTGGACTGCACCGTCCGCATCTGGACGGCAGAGAACCGCCTGCTGCGGTGGGCTGGGGCCGGGAAGGAGGGAGGGAGGGGTTGGGAGCGCATGGGCGGCGCGCGGGCTCTCCTACCTCTACCCCCGCCAGAGCCGAGAGGCTGGACAGGGGAACAGGGCCTTGCCCCTGCTCGGGCTTCCTACTTTGTGGCACAAGGCTGGACCCTGGCCCTCCACACCCCTCCAGGCTCCTGCAGCTGAATGGTGCCCCTCAGGGCCTGACCTTCAGCAGCAACAGTGGGGACCTGGTGTTGGCTCTGGGCTCCCGACTCTGCCTGGTATCTCATAGGCTCTACCTGCCCACATCCTACCTGGTTAAGGTACACAGTGAGCACAGGATGGGGGGCGGGGGGGAGTTCCTGTGGGTGGACAAGCCTCCTGAGGCCAGGGCTATAGGTTCCCTTCTCCTGTGCAGAAGCTGTGCCAGAAGGTCCCTGATGTGGTACATGACCCTCCACTACCACTGACCAGCCAGGAGTCGCTGACCTCAGCCCAGCTGCAGAGGCTCGCCAACCTCCATGGGGTGGCCAGTCTTAGGTCTGCTGGCAGGCCCAGCTGAGCTGTCCTGGAGGCCCCTGCCCAGCTCCCCTGAGTCAGGCCTGGCTGTGTGACCCAGCACAAGGCCCCAGAGCTCTCAGGCCACTTAGGCCACCCCAATCCCCGATCCCAGCCCTGGCATCCCTCCTCCTGCCAGAGGCCTGGCCACCCCCACCCCCAGGTCCTTGTCCCAGCATCCGCCCAATCCCACCAGTGATGACACCAGTGTCCCACCTGTGCCCATCCTTGTCTGCAGCACAGACTCGTCTTTCATCCATCGCCAGACGGCAACACCTCAGCAGCCAGTGTTGGAGGAGGTGGGGTGGGTCCTGACCCCTCACCACCCCAAAGCCCCAACCCTGCACCTGGCCCAGGCCCAGGCCACTCCCGTTCGGTCCTTGCAATAGGCCTGGGATCCCTGTGGTTGTCTGGGAAGCAGATGGCAAGACTGAAGGAGGAATGTGCTGACCCCTGACCCCTCCCCCAGGACTTGGAAGCCCTAGTTGCGCGGGATCAAGACCTTCAGCAGCTGAGTCTGGGGCTGGTGGTCCCGGCAGCCCAGCCCCCACCCTCCTGGCACGAGCGGCAGGAGGCGTTTGACAACTACTTGCACCTGATCTATGGTCCTGGCTTGCTGGTGGGTGTGAAGCCTCCCCCAGCCTCAGCCTTGACTCCAGCCCCTCTCTTCGCCCAGGGCCTCCGACACTGCCCATCTCCCCTGCATCCCTCCTAGGACGTGCCTTCTGGAAGAGAGTTCCAGCGGTGGAGTACCGTGACCCTCACCATGGAGAGAGAGACCTGGGATGTGTGTACCTTACACAGAGCTGCCAACTGTCTTTGGAAGGCCGGAGTCTGCACTGAAGTCCCGACAGTGCCCGCAGCCCTCCCCCGACAGGACCCGGGAGCCGTGGGCCAGCGCTTTGCCCACCCTCCCCGAGTCCCCTTGCCTATCCCACCCATACACCAGGGGATGCACAGCAAGGCATCCCAGGTAAGGCCTCCCACCCCTCCCAGCTCTGCCCCGACCCCATGACCCTGTGGCCACCCAGTGACAAACGTCTCCCTCACCCCAGCTGCTGGCCCGTTCCTCCCTGAGCAGTAACCTGGGCCTCAGTCTGGACCTGCAGCTGCATTTGGAGCGGCTCCAAGGGGAGAAGCCTGTGATCCCAGGCCCACCGGCCCTCCACCTACAACACAGGGGGTGCTGGGCAGGGGGTGCTGCCTACCCAAGAGCAGGGCTGCAGGGGCACTGAGGGTCCATGCTCGGCTCTGAGCCCTTCTCCTGTCCCCAGGTCCCCCTCTTGATGAAGAGGCGGCCCAAGGAGCCTCTTTCCAACTTCCGAGGCTTCTTTCCTGCCACCATTCGGCCCTACAAGGTGAGAGCCCCTCGCTCTTCCTAGAGGCACCTCCCTCCCGGGGGCAACCTTTTTATGTCCCCCATCTTCCCTTTGCTGCAAATCTTGTGCTGAAATCTGACCTGAGAGCCATGCCCCCCCACAGCCTTCCACCCACCTCCTGGCCAGCCCTGTTCTCTGGGGACCAGCTGCCAGAGAGCCAGAGCTTCCTGGGGGAGACACCAGGCCGAGCCAGAGCTGGTGCCAGCTGATGGTGCCCACACACCTCCTCCCCAGTTCAAGGGCTGGGTGGGTGCTGTACGGACTTGGGAAGACCAGAGTCCTTTCCCTTTAGAGGAGTGAAGTCAACAGGAGCTGGCCCCTTGCAATCCACCACCTTCCCAACCTTTCCCACCCCAGACACCCAGATAAGCCTCTCTCCAAGCACATTCTGGCACTGTCAGCTGCCCAGGTGGGTGCTGATCCTTCCCATAGCTGCACCGTCTACCCAGACTCTCGACGCCCCCCTCCATGTTCCTACCACCGACCCCCATGCTCCTTATAGACATCCCTGTTCCAGGGCTGAGGCCCCAGTCCTGTGGAGAGCGTGTGGGGGTGTCAGGGTTCCCCAGAGGCCAGCAGCTGCCCAGACTTCCTCCTCAGTCATCACAGCTGATGTCTCACTGACTGCCCTTCCGCCTGATTTCTAAAGGGTTTTTTTGCCTGTGTATTTTGGGTGTCGACTGAGAAAAGAGGCAGAACTGAAATAAAACAAAAGCAATTGGGGTCTTAGAATTGCAGTTTGGGGAGCACAGATTTGGTAGCAACCCAGATCGAATCTTGCTGAGCAGTAAAAGCCAGGTGACTGTCTTGGCAAGTTGCAGGAGCACTAGGAAACTTACACCAGTTACGATGGGAAAATGTAATTAAATTGTACACTTCGCTGGTTTTCTGAGTACTTTAGTTTGGTTACAGGAAAAATCGCTTTTGCAGAGTGTCCACTTTTTTCTTTCTTTCTTTCTTTTTTTTAGGATTTTACTTTTAAGCAATCTCTACACCCAATGTGGGGCTCGAACCCACAACCCCAAGATCAGGAGTTGTGTGCTCCACGGACTGAGCCCGCCAGGGGCCCTGCAGAGTGTCCACTTTTTTTTTTGTCAAGAATGCAGGGGCAGCAGTCCTATGTTCAGTCTTGGCCCAGTTCCATATAATTCCTCTTTCAAAAACGGGATGAAGTTTTAGTTCCCAAACAGTCTCTGATGTTCGGAGGTTTAACCCACGTTCGCTCGGACAGGGGTGTGAGGCCCGGCAGGCGGGGTGGCACTGGTGCTGGGGCTGCTCTGCCAGGTGGTCTCTGGGGTGGGGTGGCGTGCAGGTCTCAGCCCCCATGCTGTGTGCCACCCCAGGACTTGCAGCGGCCCATCAGCTTCCCCGGCAGCGTGCCCAACTCGGTGGTGCTGCAGCAGATGGGGCTTCACCGGGAGGTCAGCGGCCTCGGAGCCCTCGCCCAGCTCACCAGCCGCAGAAGCAAGGCAAGGGGGGCCTGGGGGGCCTCGCCCTCGGGCTCTGCAGGAAGGGGCCTGCGGTCCCCGCAGTGCAGCGTGCCAGCGACCGCCTGGGCTCTCCCCTGTGCAGCCAGGAAGGCGCCAGGATGACCTGTGGCTGCCGCGGCGCATCAGGCGGCGCGCGGCCAGGTGGCAGCAGAAGCTGACCCGGTGGTTGGGGGAAGAGGAGGAGGAGGAGCACCGGTATGTGGACTGGTCCTCAGAGACCCTGAGCCCACCTACGCAGCTCTCCGAGTCCGAGGAGACGGAGGCTCAGGTAGGCAGCTGCTGGGGGCTGGGCTGCCGAGGGCGGCGCGGGGCGGAGAGGAGGGGCCTGCAGCTGCTGCCGCTCCCGCAGAACTCCGAGTATTTGACCCCGAAGCGCGCGCACTCTCGCACCGCCACCAGGACCGAGACCTGCTTTCGCCACCCCCGGCACCCCTATGGGCACTCGCTCTGGGAAGAGCGCTACGGGCATCTGCCCAGGTTCCTGCATTTTTTCGTCGGCCAGAACTGGTTCAAAAAGCTGTTCCCCATCTTCACCTTGGAGGTTCGGGGGTCTCGGGCACCTGGGAAGCCCAAGCTGGCGGCGGGGGGCGGACAGGCAGGGCCTCAGCACGCGGTACCCGCAGGCCTACCCCGAGGTGAGCACTGTGGAGGGCCTGGCTTCACTGTTCGTGGACCTGCTGTACGAGGCCTCTTGGGCAGACTGCGTGCACATCCTGAAAGCGCTGCTGAGGCTGCTGCCCGACGTGAGCACAGACCTTCGTAATCAGCTGCAGGGCGTTCTCGTGCGCCTGCTCAACCTGGACCAGCCCCCTAGCCTCGAGGTGCACCGCTAGCCCCGCCCCTAGCCCCGCCCCACGGGCCTGCCCGGGACCTCGCGCTCCCCACTCGACGCGCTTGGCTCCTGTACGCCCAGGACCAGACGCAGAAGCAGTTCGTGATGCTGGCGCTGCAGCTCCTCCTGGCCTGCTCCCTGGAGTCCCGCGAGGTGGTGCTGGAGCTCATGTCCTACTTCCTCTACTCGCCTGCCTCCCGCCGGTGAGTCTTGCTCCCTACTCGTCCTCCCCGCTAGTGGGGGCGGGTGGGGGGCGGAGAGGCCTCTGGATCAGCTGCTCACACCTGTCCCAGGCCCGAGCTCAGGAAGCTGCTGGACGGGCTAGGCCTTCAGGATCCGCAGGGCTTCCTGTTCAAGGAGATGATGACCTGGGTCCAGGGCCCGGACGCTGACTCCAAGGCTGCCCTGCGCAAATGCTGCTGCCAGAAGCTGGAGGAAATGATCCAGAGGTTGCAGGTCCTGGGGGGCAGGGGTGGGGCAGGCTGCTTGCAGTGGGGCCTCCTGTCTTGCCCACACCCCGCCCCCCCCCCAGGCTTTCCCCAGGTCTTTGAGGGGAGGGGCGGGGGATCCAGGTGAGGCTGGCCGGCTCTTTGCCTTGCTCTGTATCTGTGCCTCATGGGTCCTCTCCTGTCCCCCAACCCCCCATTTCTGGGGATCATCCTGCTCCTCCCCAGGAAGGAGTCTGCAGCCAGATCTCAAGCTTGGGGCCAGGGGCAGCCTCTGCCCTGGGCTTGGGGGCACTGTCCACCGGCTGCTTCCTCCACAGACGGAGCACTTGCAGCCTTCCGTGGCCAAGTTGTCCGAGATGCTGCCCAAGGTCTCCCAGACCTCGGTGTTTCCATCTCCTCCCAAGGAGACCCTGTCGCGGATTTCAGTGCTCGCTGGGTCACCTCATGTCTCAGGGACACCCTCAGTCCGTTCCTGGGTACCCTCACCCGGGGAGCTGAACTTGGCTGTCCTTGAGTCCGGAGCGAAGCCGATGCCTTCACCAGCGCGCCTCCGGCGGACCAGACGCGCGCTGTCCGAGGCGCTGCCGCACTTCTGCCCCTCCGAGGTCCACCTGCGCTCCTCAGCACCGGCGGCGCTGCGGGGGGACCCACTGCCGCTGGAGCAGACGGACTGGTCCCGGTCACAGATGCTGGACCTGGGGCCGATCGACGCGCTCAACTTCTTCTGCGAACAGCAGCGAGCACAGCAGCAAGGTCTCCCGCAGGAGGAGCTCGAGAGACTGCGCCTGAGCCCGTGCCCATCCGAGTCCAACACCGTACTGCCCCAGCCCCGGGATCACTGGTGAGGGGGCCCCCAGGCTGGGACGGGGCCTGTGGGGGGCAGCTGAGGGGCTGGCTGGGCCAAACCTACTCCTTACCCCTCCAGGCACTATCCCATCCTCCGGCTTCAGGAGGCCAAGGTCCAGAGGTCTCCGATGAGACTGAGGGGTGAGTGGGGACAGGGGTAGAATTGGGCCCCGACACCTACCTCCACCCTAGCCGGGGTCCCAGTGGGCATCGACCCCACCCTGAGACCTCACTGACCTGCTGGCCCGCAGGCTGGATGCGGTCCCAGCTCTGGGTGGGCCGTACCCTCAGTGGCTCCATCCGGATGCTGAAGCTGCCGCTGCCGAGGGTAGAAGTTCAGCCTTTCCCCCCGGACTGGCCCAGGCCTGCCCGTCCGCTGCCCCCACGGCTCCTGCAACCCACCTTGCAGCGCTACTTTCTGCCAGATTATACAGACCCTGACAGCTACAGCTGACCAGGCTGGTGGCCCCAGTCTCTTCTTCCCTCCAGCATGGAGTCGAGATGTGGCTCTCCAGCCAGCTGTTCTCCCCTGGAAATAAAGTCCAGAGGTCATGGCCAGAAAAAAGGGTGCCGCCGTCATCTTTGGGGGCTGCAAGTGTGAGCAGAGCAGTCTCGATGGTGGATGAATCTGCCAGTGGCCAGTTGCAAGGCAGGAGCGGGGGGGCATGGTGGAGTCTGGCATGGTCAGCCCTTGGTGGAGCAGCATTCCTGGTGGGGGTGGGTCTGTCTGCCAGGAGCCGGACCCATTGCGTGGCCATGTCCTGCTCAGGGACTCAGCCTGTGTTTATCAATAAATTACTGGGGTCAAGATGGCAGTGGGGACTCCTGGGCCAGTGAGTGGCCAAGCATGGAGGGACTGGGAGGGTCTAGGCCACACACACACATACGTGTGTGTTTATCTGTGTATTGAGTGGGGTGGGGGGCCTGCAGACTTCAAACCAGAGTCTACCCTTGGCTGGAAGGGAGAAGAATTGATGGAGTCTCATGTGCTTTATTCAAGAAGCAATAAAGGGGCAGCATCCTTTGGACCCTTCTATCTAAAAATTGCCACGAGACCGAACTTATATGTGAAGTGCAGGGTCTCAGAGGGCCTTGGCTTCTTTCTGAGCTGTCGGGACCTCCCAGGGCACTGGTCCCACGGCTTGTGGGGCACATGGCACATGTGTGCACTTGCTATTAGGTCTGCCTTTGTTTTGTTTCTTAAAGATTTATCTATTTATTAGAGAGAGCACAAGTGGGAGGGGCAGAGGGAGAGGGAGAAAGAATCTGTAGCAGACTCTGCCCCGAGCCCAGAGTCCAACATGGGGCTCGATCCCATGACCCTGCGATCACAACCTGAGCAGAAACCAAGAGTCGGATGCTTGACTGACTGCGCTGCCCAGGTGCCCCGGGTCTGCCTTTGTGAAGGGCTGTTCTAGCTTTTACATCCTCCTTTTGGGTCGTTGAATAGCAGTTTCTTCCCTCTGAATGTGTTCAGCCTCCGACTTTAGAAGTTTTTTTCTCAGTGGTATTCTGGATAGAATTTGTCTCCCATACCGTCCCCACAACCCCTGTGCCGGGGCTCTTGTTGAGGGGCTGTGGAGAGGGTGGCCATTTCCTAGGCCAAGTAGGGCAAGAATTGCCAGGTCTGGAGAACCAAAGACATGACATTTGTATAAAAGGATCCGTGCCTGCTAAAACAAGGACTGTGGGACCGATAGTAGTCTGCTTCTACAGGTGTTTCCTTTAAATTATAAAAGCAATAAATTCTTTTAAAATTACCAACATCAGAGGGGCACCTAGCTGTCTAAGTCGGTGGAGTGTGTGAATCTTGATCTCAAGGTCGTGAGTTCAAGCCCCATGTTGGGCATAGAGTTTACTTAAATAAAAGTAAATTAAAAATAGATAAAAATATATTTAAAAAATATCAACATGAGAAAGTGGGGCAAATTTAAACAAGTTTTAAAAACCCACTAATTATAAAGGGAAACTATATGTTAATATTAATATATAATTATCTTAAAATTAAGAAATCTATTCATCTATACCATTCAGAGAATAAAAAGGCCAGAGTGGGAGGAGATATCTGTAATACATGTAACTATAAACAACTCATCTCCAAAATACATAAAGAGGGCGCCTGGGTGGCTCAGTCGTTAAGCGTCTGCCTTCAGCTCAGGTCATGATCCCAGGGTCCTGGGATTGAGTCCCACATCGGGCTCCCTGCTCGGCGGGAAGCCTGCTTCTCCCTCTCTCACTCCCTCTGCTTGTGTTCCCTCTCTCGCTGTGTCTCTCTCTGTCAAATAAATAAAAATAAAGTCTTTAAAAAAATACATAAAGAACCTCAACGAATCAATAACAATAAAAAAAATCACACAACCCAACAGAAAAAAATGTACAAAAAACTGGAATGGAATTTTCACTGTAGAAGAAATCAAAATCACAAATACATGTATTCCCTTCACTTCCTAACCGAATGGCCTTAATGAGTTACCCAGTTCTCTGAGCCTTGGTTTCCCATGTATGAAGTGGGGATGATGATGCTCAGAGGCTGTGCAGGACTGCTGTCAGAATTAAATGAACTTTACATCTAACACACTTAGGAATAATGCCTAGTACAGATTATGTAGATAGAAAACAAAGCCAGGGCGCCTGGGTGGCTCAGT